GATGAATCCTATGGTTTAGTGGAGGCATTCTGACTTTGCATTCAGGCAGAGTGGATTCTAATCCAGCACAAGTGTTTAATACTCATGGAACTTTGAAACATTCCTTTACATTAAATAGCTACATAAGCCTCATTTATAAGATAATGCAGAGTGATAACAAGTGTCACAATGTAGGTAATTCTTCACTCTAACCTTTACTGACAATCTTGATGGTGTGCGTTTACTCCTATACCTGTCAACATGCAGAATCTCTTTCCCAAACCTTGAATCTGCACTTTTCTTACTTGCCATGGTCCATATAAAGCTGTGATTATGACAGTGTGTTAGTTGGGTCCCTAGGAACAAAATTCCCTGAAAGATTTTGCTTTTACTTTCATAACCCTGTCATAGGAACAATCCACGTAAGCTTTTTGGAGGATGAGATATCATGGGAAGAGAATCCAACTGCTCAGTTAACAGCCAGCTCACTCTCTGAATCAGCTACCTTAGCAGCCATGAGTTAATCACACGCAGAATTAGGACCTCAGCTGAGCCAGTCTGAATTTATCACCAACTTAATCATGAGCAAATAAATTTGAGTATTTTTATGCAATGATCAATAATAAATCATTCATTTTAGGCAGGATGCCAAGATTCAATCACTTTTGGCTTGGAAGTTATAGCACAAACAAGAGGTGCCTGACAGGTGCTGATTTTTTTCTCTCCTAAGTAAATTTAAATTCAGACCTCTTATTAGATGGTGATGAATTACACAGAAATACATGCAGACATGTAAGCATATGATTGGTACTATAGCTTTCACAGTAATCCTCACCACAGGAGGAAACAGACATCACAGCTGAACCATTATGTCCAAGTCCAAATTACAAAATAAGATTTATTTTAATCTGTTTAAAATATAATTTAAACTGTTGAGAGAATTAAGTACATGTGGTCCCTGCTTCCATGGACATCCACCTTCATTCGGGGATGGCTCTGTGCCCAGCATGGGTGAGAAACACTAGTTGACTTCTGGACACCTCCAGGTTGGAGTTCCTGCTCACTCTAGGCAGCATCTCTCCCGGTCTTTTGACCTGGGTACAACTAGTAGAGAAGTGCCCCCACCATCTCCTGTCAGCCCGAAAAGGAGGGCTTTAGGTCTGCCTTCTCCTGAAAGTCAGGATAGTCAGAGCTCTTCAAGCTGGAGTATCTGCTGTGACCTGAGTTGTGTTGGAGGCTTAGAACAAAGTGAGTTTTCAAGATATACCTCCAAAAATATACATACTTCATTAGGGAGTTTATATTGGTAACATAATAATATTTTGGATGTTTGGGTTAAGTTATTGCAATTGATTTCATGGTTCTTTTTAATATTTATTGTGAATGTTTGAAAATTTTAAATTATACTTGTGACACATTTTATCAGTATTGAAAGTTGCTGCCTTAGGCAGTTGTTTCCCTGTTCAGAGCTCAAAATTCATCCTGATAAGACCAGAAAGCAGAAAATTTAAATTAATTTTAAAATAATGGTCATTGTGTCATTTATATTCATGAATAATATATACACATGTAATAAAGAAATTTACATAACCAAGGTTTATATGATACAAGGTTAATGCAAATATCCTCCTGGATGGGCCAGATCTCACTAGTCCGAGGAAGCTATGCTATGCCTTAACTGTCAAAAGCATGAAGCTTTGTGTTCATTTTTCAGAACCTCAGAAAATAAAAATAAATATAAAAATAAAAAGACAGTGGGGTATGACTGACAATCCAGAGACTCCAGAGGCAGCTGCATAAGGATTTCAAGTTGGTGGCCAGCCTGGGAAAACTAGAAAAAATATGTCTCATAATTTTAAAAAATGAAAAGAACTGGGGCTATTTATCAGGGACAGACTTCCCAGGATTCAATCCCAAGTACTGAAAAAAGGAAAAAAAAGAAACAATAAACAAAAAGAAAAATCAGGGATCAAGAACCACTGTCACTCAGTCCTCATTCACTCTTGGGTTGTATATACTCTACTGTCCTTAATACCTTGGCTCAATAGGCTGAGATTCAGGGGGCCTGGCTGAAGCCCTGTTAAGTAAGAGTCACATGGGTGAGATCTGTTTATTTCAGCACATACCTAGTGAGGAGGGGGTGTGCTTTGCCGTCTGCTGTGACTTTTGTCTCTGGAGCCTGCTATTCTTCTGACTCATGTCTAGACTCGCCTATGCTCAGGTCTTTTGGGTTGCTCTGCCACGTAGGTGCTAGAAAATTCACAGAAAGAATGTTAGCACCCTGACAAATGGGAAATGCTGAGTGTTGGTGGGCATTTTGAGACTTAGGAGGCTATTTGGAACTGGAAGGACCCACAACGGTGAAAACTGGAGATGATGGACAGGGACTGCACAGTTCATCTTCAGAGTTCGCCAACCTGAGCCCTCCTCTGGGCAGCTCAGCTCCCAGGCCACTCTGCCTGATAACTGAGTGTGGGTCTGCATTTGGGACTCTGCACACCCTGTCCAATTACTGCATGATTGTTTCAGTCCCCACCTGAAGCCCTGTCTGGGATCAACATGCCCATAGAGATGCTGAGGTATCTCTACAGGTTGTGTGGTAAAAATTGGGCTGTTCATCCAGAGAGGATCCCAGCTCTGTGTGTGGGGTTTCTGCATGAGAAGAGCTGTTGTCTTTAGGGACCCCAATTCCTCCTTCCTTCTGAGCTTTCTATATGTATAAGAAGCAGTGTTCAGGTCCAGAAGAAGTCAGTCCTGTAGTCTAGCTCTACATTGTCTATGAATAAATTCCTCAATTTCCAGCTTCCTGTCCATATTGTCTCTGCAAAAATTCCCCTCTCCACAATATCCACTCTTTGTTTCCCATACTGCATTTCAAATAGATGCAGTATTTTTCAATGTTTTCTTCCAAGTACTGGGTGGCACTTTTTAAATATTTCATTTTCTGTTTTGAGCATTTTGCATGAGAGGAAACCAGAGATTACTTGACCATTTGGGGAAAAAGGTGTGTGCCTTCTGGTTTTCTTCTATAGGCACAGAAAACTCACTACAATGACTTTGAGATTCCCCTGCAGACTTCACTATGTGACATAACCTCAGTTCATTCTCCCATCTTTTCCTGGCCCTGGATTTCAGAACTGCCTGACACAGGTGTCCAAAGTTTATGTCTCAAGCCTCTTGGAGTGTCTAGTGAGTGCCATTCCTGGGTCTTGTCCTCCTAGAGAGCAGTTGAAAGTGTGGGGCGGGAGCCTCTCAGGGGAATGGCTGGAGTCCCTGCCGAGATTTTCCTTTCATCCAAAAGGCATTTCCACTGTTTGTTTGGTTTTTATAAGCTACTGTGAATAGCAGAAACGATGTCAGGTGTGTAGCCATTTGTTTGACACACCGATTCCAATCTCTTTAGCTGTATACCCAGAATTATTACTACTGGATTAAGCAGTAGTTTTGTTTTGACTTTTATGAAGAACTTTATACTAATTTTTAAAAATCAGTACAAAAGCAAGCCTCAACTCCAAATGTTTCTCAGTAATGGGTGTGGGTGCCTAGTGATGGGGCTTTCTGCCTGATGGTGTGGGGACATGAAGAAACCCCAGACCCAATTCATCTTATTCTCACTTTGGAACATGGTGCCCAGCTGACTGGAGAGAGAGAGGGATGTGGAGACCTCCTCTCTTCAGGCTGATGTCCTGTGTGGTAATTGTGGGATCATAAATGCCTTTTTGAATTTAGGTCACTTCTTATGTTTTTTCAGTTTTTTTATTAGAGGATGAGAGGTGAGTAGAAGAGAATGAAAAAGGCCCTGTTGTGAATCTCATGCTACCCTCTGGTTGTTATGGTTACTGCCTAGTTGTACCAGTGCCATTGGTCACTAGGCCAGTGACTCCCTCCAGCTCTGGGTCTCAGTGCTCTATTGTTGGCACTTCATCTAGTTACTGAGCTCATGTAAAGTGTCTGAAGAAGGCAGTTTCTGAGGTTGTAGGTCATGGTGGCTGCTGAAGCTTCTGCTCCCCATTTGAAGTGAAGGCGTGCTCAGGAGACCCTCAACACTCCAGTCCTGAGAACATCAAGGAAGGGTGTGAAGGCTTTACACCAGAACCACAAGCTCATAGGAAAAAGCTAAGGTTGGTGTGAAATCTGCTGGACAGGTTACTGCAAAAATAGTGAAGAGATCACAGGAAAACAAAGTGAGAAAGAAGAAATATTACCAGTTAGATGAAGCAGCCTGCACATAGTAATTGACAAAGAAACTGACTTTCTACAGGAAACTGCCTCATTGTGCTTGGAGAGCAAGCCGGGCCCCACCTCCAGGAGTTTAGACTCAGAAGAAGGAATGGGTGTCCTGCAGTAGAGGCTAAGCCTCCCTTGGATGAAGTGATGAATGGATCCCAGACCCCACTCACCTCAATCCCACTCTCATACTAGGTGCCCTACTGACTTGAGAAGAAGAGAGTTGTGAGACCCTCTTGGCCCAAGACAGTGTGATATACTGTGTGATTATTGAAATCCAGCGATCCTAAAGACCTGTGTCACTTTTTTTTTTCACATTTGCACTCAGAGGATTGGAGGTCAGTAAAAGAAAGGTCCTCTTGAGAAACCCACTGTACTTTCTGGTGGTTATAATCACTCCCAGTTGTACCAGTGCCATTGGTCACTGAGCCACTGCTTCCTTCCAGATTTGGGGTTCTTTGGTTCACTGTTGGTTAAGGGAGGAGATGGGGGACCTTCAAGTATGGTGTCCTGGGCCAGGGTGTCCTGGGACCATGTCAGCAGTTTGGACTCATTAGAGGGTGTGGGCAGAGTTCTCTCATTTCTTGAGTGTGAGCCTAGCTCCTGTAGTTGATACACTTTCACAGGTGGTGTCCTGAAAAGCGAATGCCTTTTGCTTTCAGAGAAAGGAGAGGGAAAAAAGAAGAGACCTCTCTAGAGGCATTTCTGGGGTAGAGGACCAATCTGTGCATCACACTTGCCATAGAAACCTGATGTCATTATGGCAACCATGGAAACTATGGTGCCATTCTTTAGGAGGAGTTGTTGTGGTGAGGGCAGCAGGGCCCTGCCTCCAGGAGTTTGGACTCAGCAGGCTGTGAGTGTCCCACTGTGGGGGCTGAGCCTCCCTTGGTGTTGGAAGAGAAAGGGATACTAGACCCATGTCACACAATTTGTGCTTTGTGACAGGAGGGGGGTGGGGAGAGAGGGAGAGGGAGAGGGAGAGGGAGAGCGCATGCGCTAGGTCTGGTGTGTTCAGCATCAAGTTCTGTGGCAAGTGGGGGTGGAAAAGAAAGTGCTTAGTCATTAAATAGATCAGTCTTCTAAGGAAACATTCTGAAATTTATACACAGAGTAAATTCAGAGGATTTTCAGGAATTATAATTAAAGAGGCTATGATGTAAAATCATACATCAGAGATCATCACAATTTTTAAGTATAATTTTTGTTTCGATATTTCAATATGTTTAGATGTCTTCTGGGATTTAGTGCATGGGCTCTCTCTCATCCAGTGAAGAGGACTACGGAATAGGATAGAGGAGAGTATGGCTGCAGAGTCACTAATCAAGACCTCTGGAGACCAAGCAGGAAGCAGGTCTGACTTTATTGTGCAGTTACCATGTATATATATTCAGGAAGCAGCTAAGCAGATTATAGGCAGCCACCAATACAATTTCTGGCCAACTGTCCTTGCAATGACCAATCGATAAGTGGGCCATAGAGCAAGTGCAGGTACTGCAACATGCGGCCTCATGCCCAGGGCTATGCCTGTGATGTAAACTGTTTGTTGCTCACATGCCTAGCATGAGGGAGTGGTTTGCCACTCAGACACCCTTAATGTATGCCATATATTCAGTAGTCCATGCACTTGTTCCCACAATTTAGTATGAAATGTATTTTTTTCTTATTGGCTGAATTCCAGATGTATCTGAAAACCTCATTTTCCTCTTATCTTAGCTGTGATATGTCTTCAAGTTACCTTTTGTCTATTACCTTATCCACATCTTCCTAAGAAGGTGAAGTGTTGGTCTTAATTAGTCTCCAATATTCCTATGTGTGTTTGTGTTAGACATTCTCTTGGGTGTCTTGTAATGCTGTTGTCAACTGTTCCATTGCCCTGTGGATGGCATAAAGATCTCCATATGATGGTACTCATATACATTATTCAGATCAAATTGTTGGGAATGACATTACTGGGAATAAAGTTGACAGTGAGTTGATGCATACAATAGATTCCTGTTGCCAGTGTAGCAGGGAATTAAGGTATGGACACCAAGATCTGAAAGCAACATTTTATTAGTGGTTCCATGGGCCAAAGAGATGGTTCCCAAAGTCTGAGACCTTAGGACCATATTTAAACATAAGCATGTTTGGGGTACATCAAGGAAACAGAGTTGGTGCAATTCTATTGCAGAGTGTAGTCTACTTTTCTTTCTGGCATGAACTTGTTAACAGCCTCCAGACTCTTTCTCAAGAAGCTTAGGGTCTTTTACTGCACTAAGCCTAAAGAAGGAATGTCGCCATAGCTTTGTCTTTTGCCTCTGCTACTGTGGTTTTCTTTTGCAACTACCTGTTAACCATCGCATGCCTCTATGGGTAAATGTTAGTAATCAGAGCTGCTGTGTTAGCATACAAAACCAAAGTCTGTCACCTCTTAATCTGCTGAAGTTCCTATTTCTTAGATGCTTTGTTTTATTCTATTTTTTCTGACTACATTAGAATAATGGAGCTAAAGTATCTGAATACTGAGAATGAGTAATAGGAAAAAAAGGTAGATTTGTGGGAAGTGGTAGTTCACACAGTTTCATGACTTGGGACACAATCAGAAAAAAATTACTTCTTTGGGAGGTGAGTGAAGGGTGGGGGGAAAACAGTCCACTAATACTCAATATAGGAGAGAAAGTCCTGAACCTTGTACACCAGACAAAGCTAAGGAGCTGTTTAGAAGCTGAATTCCTGGTGGGAATTTGGAGTGGGATGGGAGGGAAAAGTATGTGTGTGTGTGTGTGTGTGTGTGTGTGTTTGTATATGTGTGTATATATATATATATATATATATATATATATTCTTTTTTATAACCATTTTAGAGGGTACAATTTTATATACACACACACACACACACACACAAACACACACACAGAAGACCTAAAAATAGCTGTAAGTTCTGGGATATTTGGCATGGAAAACCCCAGGACTGGAGGTGCAGATTGTCTTGGGTAGATCCAGAGGCTATTTGACAAAACAAACTGGTATTCGGACAGGCACAGTTAGTCACACACAGGATGCTTAGACTCAAATACCTCAATGTAAAGTGGCACAAACTTAGACTGGGTGCTTTGATTCATGAATTAAAGGCAAAAACCAGCACATAAATTGAGCAGATGCAAACTGAGAGATCTAACCTGAGCCTAGAGAATCTGGCACAGAGACAAGGTCTTGCTGAGTTGCTTAGGACCTCACTACAATGCTGAGACTAGCTTTAAACTTGCTGTTCTCCTAAATCAGGCCCTGCAAACTGCTGAGATTACAGGATTGCATCATCTTTCCAGCACAGATATTGGATTTTAAGAGAGCAGAATTGGAAATAGAAAGAAATAAATATTAAGCTGATATAAGTTTGATCTTTGTTGTTGGCATGTTTTTGTAACACTCATAGCCAGTGTGTAAATGACTCATGCTGGGTCTTATTTTGTTCAGGTTCTTCATTCTAGAGTTTGTTTCATCTAGCAGTGAGTGCCATGTGACTTACTTCTTAGGCATCTGGCTGTCCCTTTCATCAGTTGCTTCTCTGTAAAAACACAGTTGCTTCTCTATAAAAAGATGGATCCTCATTATTCCAACAAAGTCCTCTGTCTGGAGCGCTAGATGCAATCACACAACCTGCACTAGCACACGAAAGAGAGCTAAAGCAGGAGCCGGGAAGCCAAGGCAGCCAGGGAACTGAGCTCCTGGGGTGCTGGAGCACACTGGTATTCAGGGACTGTAAGGTTAGACTACAGATGAAATACAGAGGAGCGCATCCATTAACACATGAAGCCTGTGTGTGATTTCCAATCTGTCAAGGAAACAGCCACAGCAGCAGGGATCACCATCACAAAATGCCACTAGGATGTGACAAAGTTTTATTTCAACCATAAGAAATATAAGAAATATACACACTAAAAATTAAAAAAAAATGTGGCATTAGATGACCTTTCATAAACAGACAACTAATCAGGACTAGAGATCAGATTCACTCCAAGTGTGGCTCAGCGGTGAAAGGCTTGCGGTACTTGTGCCTGCCCCTGTACTTGATCCACAGCTCTGCAAAACAAAGAAACAATGCATATTTAAGTATACTGAATTATGTAAATATAGTAAAAACTTGGCAAGTTTCAAATATTGGTCATGATAGAGATAATACTTGTATGTATTATAATAAAATACACACTGAGGAAAAGAACAATTAACTGACTCTCATACACATATAGCAACAGCATGTTCATGTAAATAAATGTACTTACATTCAGCTCAACCAGCTGCCATCATTTATGATTTATTGCCTTATTTTATGGGTTGGGGCCTTGACTGCTTTATTCTTTAAAAACTGCATGATTTTTTTTTAATTCTGGCAAAGAATTTAATTCCTTCATTTCTTAGGTTTATTTATTTATTTTTTAATAAAACTAAGTTTACTTTTGTAACCAACTTTAGAGGGTACGATTTTGTAACTTTTTATATTTTACATGCAGATCCACCAGTTCCCACCAGCAGTTATTCCTTGTTTCTGCTCCACTTGGCTCCTGGCATTTTTCATCAATTGATTTTCTTACTCTCAAAATAGTATATCACATATAAAATACATGGCACTTTTTTTTTCTCTGATTCATTTCCCTTAGTGTACCGTTCCCCAGCTACATATCCATTGTAATATTTTAGTGCTCTCACTAACCATGATTGCTGGATGTGACTGAAGTTGTATCTCAGAGGTAAAGTGCTTTCCTAGTAGGCACAAGACCCTGAGTTCAGTTCTAGAACTGCCAAATAATATTGCTGAATAATATTACAATGCAGACATACCAATTTTCTATTGTCCATTAATATTGTGTTGTTTTCACCATTGAGTCTCATTCAGTTATAAATACTCATGTGTTAATGAGAACTCATCTGAGCACATGCTTTCAGTTATTTATGGAACTTTTTAGGGGAGGGTTCTGCTTATTTTAGTATTTTATCAAGAAACCATCAAGGTATTTTCCATTGCGAATGCAAGATTTTATGTTGTTATCAAAGGGGTCTGGAAATTTTTCTACAATCTTCACATTTTTTTCCCTTCATTTCTTAGGTTTATTTATTTATTTTTTAATTGGACACTTTATTTGTTCTCAGGACCCAACACAATGACATTTGTACAGACAAAAGTCACCCCTACTTGTAAGTTATGATATTGAACACACAAGATTTCTGCCAGGGGGTTTTAGCCAGTGACAGGGTAAAACAGATCTGTAGAGGAAATATAGTTTGTAGGAGGTCAGCTAGTCAGTAGGGCTTGTTGTTGACTGATCAGTCTCAATAATTTTGTGTGTCCTGGGATGTACACAGTTTCCCTGTATGTAGGGTTCCTTGCTCTGGGGCGATTCTGGCGGGTACAAAGTGGCAGTGCACTGTAAGAGCCAGAGAAAAGAGGAGGCTGGGCTTTGAACTCAACTGGCTTCTTAAAAAACGTCAGTGAGTGCTAAAAAGTGAGTATAAACAGATCTTCAAAACCACACAAACCAAAACACCTAATGTAATTGTCTTTACTTTCCTTTTTCTTTCTGCACAGAAAAAAATTGTGTATTGCCCTGATTTAATCATTACACAATGTATACTTATGCCAACATATCAAACTGTATGCCATAAGCATGTTCAATTGTTATATTTCAATTAAAAACAAAACATTTGAAAAACAGAAAAGCCTTAAAAGAACAGACCTGCTAATGATTCAATTATATTCTCTAAGTAATTTCTAGTCATTTTGGACTCCAAATAAAATTGTAATGCTATTCCAATTTTCTACTGAATTGATTAAGAGAAAATAGCAGTTGAATCTTATGGAATATTAAGTGTCAAGTTTTCCTATAAAATTATAATTGTAGTTTATATTTTATACAATGAACTGTGAGTAGGAACAATCTACAGTATCTTTAAATAGAATAGGAACAATCTACAGTATCTTTCAGAGAAGAGAATTATAGCAATTTGACAAATTGGGAACCTGAAGCAAGGAAATCACATAACTTATTCATTCTCTGAAATCTCAATGATGGTACTACAGGAACAACTATATTAATATCATTTAATCTGCAGCTATTTTGATTTATATCACTAATTTAAAATCTATGCATTCTATTGTTTAGTATAAAATTTCACAGAAAATTTTTAAAGTCAAATTTATTTAATTATTTGTGTGTATGTATTTTTGAAGCATATCTAAGGCTCCACTGGTCAGTCTAATTCAAGAACATTTGATTCAGTACTATTTTTATTTTTTTAAATAATTTTAGCTGTTATATTTAAGTCCAGAATGATTCTGAGTTAATTATTTATATAATCCCATGTAAAATACATTATCACTCTTTTGCATTAAATATGCAATTTTATTCCTATCTTATTTGTGGAAGATGCTATTCTCACTTGAATTAACTTGAGAACCTTGTGAAAAATAAATTTGCCAGAGCTGTACTTTGTGATGCATGCCTGTAATGCTAGTGGCTTGGGAGGCTGAAGCAGAAGGATTATGTGTTCAAAGCCAGTCTCAGTAACTTAGTGAGGCCCTAAGAAACTCAGTGAGTCCCTGTCTCTTAATAAAATATTAAAAGGGTCTAGGGATGTGACTCAGTGTTTAAGTTCCTCTGGGTTCAATCACTGGTATAAAAAAAAATAACAGAGTTAAGCAGCTTATTTTTCCACTGCCCATTTTCTTCCACTGATAGATTTCTAGAATTTTTTTAAATCAGGGATTTAACCCACAGGCACTTAACCACTGGGGCCAAATTACCAGTTCTTTTTAGTGTTTTATTTTGAGAGAAGTTCTTGATAAGTTCCTTAGAGCCTCATTGTATTGCTGAGGCTGGTCTCAAACTTGCAATCTTCCTGTCCAGCCTCCTGAGTCTCTGGGATTAAAGGTGTGCATCACCACGTCTGGCCAGGCAATTCTTTAAAACATTTACTGAGGGTTAAAATAACTGTTGTGCTTAAGGTGATAAGATATGCTAATATCACTAACTTGCACCATATGTTATAATTGTAGTTCAAATTTCATTGTTTTGTAAATAAACAGTAATTAGCAAAACAACTAAAAGTAAAATTTTTAAACATTTATAATGTTTCTATTGCTTATGGAAATATATATATTTTTTTCCCTAGGATTTTTTTTCCTTAAGATTGTTTTGAGTAGATTCTTCAAGTATATGATTAAATATCACTGCTATCATTATGGCCTTCTTGGAAATTAATATGAGTTTCTTATAAATATTTTTACTGTGGTTAACATCAAATAATGATGAATTATGTCACACTCATCTCTAAATCTTATTATTTATTTAATTTTGTTGTGCTAAAAGAGAAATTCAGGGCCTTGCACAGGCTAGGCAACTGATCTACCACTTAACTACACCCACAGCTTCATGAATCTTACTGTTCAAATATTGGTAAGTAAAAAATTATTCAAATGTACAATTAAAATAATTTGGTATGTTTATTTGTAAGTCATAAATATATATATATATATATACACACACACACACACACACACACACACACACACACACATATAAATGCATGCATGCATGCATGAAATTCCTATATTTTCTTGTGGTAAAGTTTTTTTGAGGGTATATAAGTAAAAAGTGGAATTGAATATTACATGATACTATTATATATAAAATATGATATGTACACATGTAATATTAGCAAAATATGTAATATATACTACATGTAGTATAATATAATCTAATAAATATCAATGAATTTTATACATTGCATATGTTACATAGTATATCTATTTGAAAGCATATATAATAAGTAATGTGATACATGTTATAATACTGAAATGCATACATTTTAAACATTGACTCAAAGCTTTAATAGAATTAGAAAAAATGAAAAATAAATTTTATGAATGTAAACAATGGATTTTAGAAATCAAACAATTTGTTAGTAAGCAGCAATCTTTCTCCTCTGATGACAGTTGGTCAGTTGGTAGTACTTGATTAAACTTGGGCTTGATTAAACTCTTGAGAATTAACAGCTATCTTCAAATACGAATTTCAACCTACAAAGAGTCTCTGAGGTAGATTGCAGAAAATATAACAAGGCAACCCACACTGTTAATTTGTGAACAAAATAGGCAAGTTTTTCAGTATGTTAGACACCAAAATAAAGTATCACAAAGGGAAATTTTTGAGATTAATTTTGAAAATTTACTATCATTCTCTCAAGGCACACATAAAAAAAAAGAAATCAAACTGGTCATTGTAGCACTGATTCAACAATTGTATGTGTCTGTCCTCACACTATTTAGCAACTTAACTCTAGGTTTCTATCAGTGGAAGCCTGGGGTTCAGCTGCCCTCTCTGTAGGAATAAGGAAATGAAATCCTCCTTCCCACTTCCTAATTTCTCTGTCTGTTATTCAAAATCCTAATTAGCTAACATTGCTTTTTTATCATTCAAGGTAATATTAGAGAAGATGCCAAACTGCCATAACTAGGACAACATTTGTATAAAATTTATTAAAGTTCAACAGAATTATTATTTCCCATTCATCTAACAAGTAATAACTTTATGGAAATAGTGTTTTTGTCATTTTGAAGGAAGAATTAGGAAAACTATTTTTAAACAGGAAGAAGTTCTCCTCCCAAGTTACTGGAAATTATTCTCACTTATTAATCTAAGAAATGTCCTCAAACTATAATTACATGCTTTGGTAAAGTCATCATATTTGCTTTATAAAATTCTGAGTTTAAAATATTAGTAAAATTAAATAATATGAAGAATTCAAGTGCATTTCCAATTCTTTCTGATATGAATCATAATTTTTTAAATCTAAAATACAAAGGGAAAAATAATTGTCAAATATACAGTATAATATTTTATTTCATCATAGAAAATTCAAAACAGATAAAAAGCCACCATGGTCATTGATTTAAAATTCTACTATCTTAAAAAACAAAACATTTTAACATTTTTTATTATATCCTTCTACTTCCATTTTCCACACATTCCTATGGTATGCTAATTATTATAATTTTAAAATAAATTTATTCTACTACATGCATGTCACAGAGAATGAGAATAAATCAATGTGAAATATTCTCTAAGTGTGAACTCCTTCTCTCTGAGTCCCCTCAGTCATCCTCAGTACTTCACGTGTCTGCTTCTAGGGATCACATTCAGCTCTGTTTGCCCCCAGGATTGATTTTGAGCTGAACTGGAGGCCTCCTAGAATCCAGTTAGAACCGATAGGAAACATTCACAACCACAAACATTTACTCCCTTTCCATGAAAAGTGCAAGGTGTCCAAGGCCAGCTCCGTACCTTGCCAGTTCCCCTTGTTTTGAGGGTGTGGAAAGCTGTTTAGATCTGGGCAAAGCTGGACTGGGATTCTCCCTCTTTTTTGAGAAAGAGGGAGCTGGAACACTGGGCCCTTCAAGCTGCAGAGCTGGAACACAGGGACCACACGCTGAGCACATCCTTCTGGCTTTGGGTGTGGTATCCATAGGAGACTGGATACCTCTTGAAGAACACTTCTCCCACAAGCAGGAATAATCAGCTTTGTCACATGTCCTGCCTCATATTATCAGAGTCCTCGCATGGCTTAAAGTTTTTGCAAGCTGGTATTTATTCATTTAAAGTTCACACATCTATGCATTTCTTCAATCAGTCCTCATCAATTACTGATCTATTCATTTTAGCTTCATGTAACCTGATGTACAAAAGCTTCAGGAGATTCAGCATATGAGTGCAAACTACCATGTTAGTCCATGGCAGAGCTGGGCTGAACTGGTACCATCTTTTTTTATTTTATTTTTTTTTCCTCTGATTTCTCTCTCCTTTCCATACATACTCTCTTTGGGGGAAGCCTCAGGAGTCACAGATCAGTTGGATGGGTTGTTAGTATTTGCTTATCAACTGTTTTCCCCTTGGCCTCCTTTGTGTTGGATAATACAGTGAGTCTGAGCCAATGATGTGGGAAGAAGATTTGAGCTTCTTTACATACTGGCCCCTAAAATGTCCTGTGTGATGTACACACTGCATATAGGGGATCCCAAAGGACATTAAGAGGACTCAATGACTGAACCAAGTTTTTTTAAAAACAAGGGTCTCACACAGGTCAAGATCACCTCCTCCAGAGTTCAGGGTTACTGTGGTGAGAAGATCTTCATGGTGGATACCTGGCCAAGGAGAAGAGTCAGGTGAGGACAGGGCCAGTAGCAGGACAAGGCTGGGTGAGAATAGAACTAGCAATGCTTCCATTGCTTGGAGAAGTCCCTTAGAAAATGTGACCAGGAGCTGGTGTACACAGATGCCTGGGAATCATATGGAAAGAACACCCTGTTGTGAGTTATGAGGAAGAGATGATGGCAGAGAAGAGATACATGTCCAGGATTCTGACAGCAGTCTTGAGAAGAACAAGATATTGCCCGAGGTCTGCAGGCTCTGCTGTCATTCACCATGGTAAATCATGACAACAAAGATTCCTCTAAGCACAGGGGCTCATGGTAGAGTTTGTCCCCAAGAATGATTTAGGTGCTGCTTTGTGGGATTGCCAGAGATTTCCAAGCATGAGCACAGAGGTAGAGTGCACTCAGTGTTTCATGGGAAAGTGGTCCCTGAGGATGAGGGTATAGACTTGGGGGAGAAATGAGAGAGAGGGAAAGAAAGTGCAACTAGACACTTTCACTGGAACCTGAATTACTTGAACCTGAAGTGTACTTGGAACAGGAAAACATCAATCCTCACCCACAACATGGATATGTAAATTCAGAATGGATTTTCAAAGGAAATAATGAAGAAAATATGAAAAGTTTCTAAAAGGACAATTTTAGTAGTCTCAGCATCATATTTTAACATTTCCTTAAAAATACACCAACTGTATAGATGACAGATTTTATTAAGATTAAATTTATTTTATATAAAAGCATACACATGTACAAAGAGACAGCAGATAAAGACAATATGAGGCAAAAAGAAACACACAGTATGAGACAGAGAAACTGAAATGATAGGAAATGAGACACTTGATTATGTTAGGTCTGGAATTTAGATTTTTCTATTTCCATTTTTTATAGTTATGGTATGTCTTCTAACAGATAGGGATGAACCCAAGGTTTGAAATTAAAGTCTTCTCAGTCTCTCCTAAGATGGTGCTTTATCCATGCATGCACTATTTCACTATATATGCAAGTGGTCTGGAATGTTCTAGATATTAAAAGAGTGATGAGAAAATAGGAGAGGGGGAGAAAAAATGCAGAGTTAAAAAAAAAAAGACATGAAGATTCGAAAAGGAATCTCTGTGAAGTGAAAATGATAACTACTTTGTGATGATCATTTAATATATACATATATATGTAAACATAGACATATATGTGTATATATGTATATATACACATATGTGTGTGTGTGTGTGTGTGTGTGTGTATATATATATATATATATATATATATATATATCATTGCATTCCTTAAACACACGTTAATGATATTTCAATAAAGAATAAAAACTAAAATGGCACACAATATTTAAGCTTTATCAGCTTCAATATCTATCTATCCATCCATCTATATCTACATATATATAATATTATTATAAAAATAAAAGACAAGCTAAAAGTGTAAGTCTAATCCACCACCTCTGTTCTTTCTTTTTTTTTTAAAAGAGAGAGTGAGAGAGGGGAGAGAGAGAGAAAATTTTTAATATTTAGTTTTTAGTTATTGGCGGACACAACATCTTTGTTTGTATGTGGTGCTGAGGATCGAACCCGGGCCGCACGCATGCCAGGCGAGCGCGCTACCACTTGAGCCACATCCCCAGCCCCGCTGTTCTTTCTTTTAGTAAATCATCACAGGGATCATCTATGAGGGTTCTGTGTTTGGGATTGGGGTCTCTGATAAACTTCATGATTGTGGCATGATTGCTGGGTAGAAAGTTTCTGTGCAAAGGCACAGAAAGCCTGGCTGCTAGGAAGTTTCTCTGTAAAGACACAAAATGCCTGGCTGCTGGAAAATTTTGTGTAAAGCCATGGGATGCCTCTCTGCTGTAGCAATGTCCTTTACGAAGAAGCTCTGTGTTAGAGTCTGTTCAGTCTCAACCTTGATTTTAGGCATATAATTCCTGAGAATAAAGGAATTTGCTTGCTGGGATAACTACAATGTTTCAATAAGCTCCCTTGTTCCTGGATCTGCCCGCTTAAAAGTTACTTTGTACAATGAATTTCTTAAGAGCTGCAAAAAGCTCCTGACTTTGCATATTGTAACTGTGGAATATAACTGCAGAATAAACTACGTTACTGGTACTCTAAGCAATAAAAATGTAATTATGGTCCTAATTACCTAATGTAACCTATCGGTGTAAATAAATATTGTCACTTGGAAAAGCAGCCATTTTTCTTCCTGCCTCTACATCTTGTTTCTGTGTCCTCTTATTATTTTTCCTAATACTCATTAAGGGTAAATTTTTTGTAGGTATATTTACAATTTCTATGGTTTTTAAAATTCAAAACATGCCATAGAAAATTCCCAACCCCAGATATTATTTAAAGCACATTCACTTTGGACTGGAAATCAACTTCTTTTAGTCTGATGAAACAGAACATCCACACACCCTGGGTACATGAGACAGGTTTGTTACTTACGGACAGGGAACAAAGGCATGCAGAAGCTTTGGATTCATTCCAAGCTTGTCCCTGGCAGTCATGAAGGCTCCACACAGAGGATTCAGTTTCATCCAAGAATGCTCCACTTACACCAAAGCTGAAGGACCCCAGGAAGATGTCCACCTTGGGTTTTATGCCCTAGAACCACAACACTCTCTAAATCATTAAAGGACATACTGATTCTAGGAAAACTGGAATAGAAGTTATGTTGTTCCACTTAGTTTCTTCCTAGCTTATGGTGTTACTTTCTCAGTATATTTTGCAGTTGTCCTGAGAACTACAAGGGATAACGTGGGACTGTGAACAGGGTTGTTCCAAGACGACTTGGAGAATGCTCTTGCAGTCACTCCTGAGGTCACATTGGGTTAACTGGGGTTTAAAGACGATGCTAAGACTGCTGATTGGCAGATCATAAGAGAGGGAGACATTTTTCTCATATACACTGGTGTACACACTGGTGTCTGATTGTCCTACTCTATTTACATGGGCCCTTAAAGCAGAAGACAGAGATGCAGCAGAGGACACAGTCAGAGATATAGGGTATAAGAGGTTCTTTTTACATTACTGCTGGAATTGAAGACAGTAAGTATGTGAGCCAATGACACTATGAAACAAAAGGAAAGTTTTAATTGATTAATTTACTGTTGTTATTACTGGTAGCAAGGATTGACCCAGGAGCTGTTCACTACTGATCTGCAGGCCTTTTTATTTGTAGACAGGCTCTAGCTAAGTTGCTTAGGGCTTCACTTATTTTCTGAGACTAGTCTTAAACTTGCATCTTTCTAGCTCAGCCTCCCAAGCCACTGGGATTATAGGCATGCACCACTCTGGCCAGCCAAAAGTATTTATTATTAAATGATACTAAAAATTGTACATATTCATAGGGTATCACAAGATATTTGAATACAATGTGCACATTAGCAATCTCCAAATCAGGTTAGGCATACTTGTCTCTCAAATAGCTACCATGTCTTAGGGCAAAACTTCTCAAAATATTTTCCCAGATGTTTTAAAATATAGAATATATGATGATAAATGAGAGAAAAAGTATCTATTGTACATTTTCAGAAAACATTGAAATTTATTGTTTACTTTTTAAAAAGACTTAAATAATTACCAACACATATAAAAAGCTGATTCTGTATGGTTTTCTGATGTAAATTTTTAAGTTATTAATTGATGTCTTTGAAGAAAATGAAGAGAGAACCTCCCTATGCATATGTCTTACTATATGCATCTATGTTTAACAGAACCTATGTTATTAACATTAAATAAAGACATATAAAAGTATTTCTATTAAAATAAGAGCTTCTACTTAGTTGAAACTCATACAAACATTTGATAAACTCAGTCAGTATATTCTAAAGCCAAGAAGATGTAAACCTATAATCAATGAATCAATCACCTTTACACACATAGCAGCAGAAACTCTTACAATTATCATTAAAAACACACTGTGAAACTACAGGTGAGTCCTCATCATGATACTTCAAACTAAAAAATGACCATGTCATGTTATCTTTTTCTGTTGCAATAACCAAATACCCAAGACTGAGTATTTGACAAAGAAATTTAGTGACCTACAGTTCTGGAGATTCAAGAGTATGGTGCCAGCATCTGCTCAACTCTTTGAGGAACTAAGAGTAGGTGAAATCACAATAGTGGGAGCACATACAGAACAGACCACAGGACAGGACAGGGAGCGACAGAGCAGAGACACCAGAACTCTCTGCAAGACAGCCCAATTTCATGGGAACTGATATACTCCAGACATTACCATTTATCCCTTTAAGCATGACCTCCCAATGACCCAGCCACCTTGTACTTACATCCACACGTCAAAGTTTCTACCTCCTCCAAAACCTTCACACTGGGTGCAAAGCTTCCAGCACATGGAACTTTTTTTTTGGGGGGGAGGACTTATCCAGAGAGGAAGGCATGAAGTAATTAATATTCCTGCAGTTGAATTCTATTACCAACCAAATATAAAAATACAAACTACGATGAAAATAGAATTTTCTAAGTCAAATATAAAAATTGAAGCTGATCATTTTCATTTATAGAAAGTACAAATGAAAGTGATCTATGGTATTTAATGTCACATACTGGTCCCTGTTGAATATGATTATGGCAGAGGCACAAAGAGGAATCTTTGAGATGGACAAGCTTGTATTTTGATGTAGAAGAAGCTGAAGGCAAAAGTGTATATACTTTATAAAATTTTACTTAGTAATTTACTTTAGTAATTTATGACTGCTTTGATGGTTTATAGGTGATTTAAAAATCATTTGTAACAATAAAAAATTATACCTAATGTATATTATCAAGGTGGACATTAAATATATGAAACAGAGTAGGGGTTTTTAGTGGACAATTGCTTCCCATTCTGTCCATTTCTATATTGTAGGGATTCTGACCATGGAAATATCATAGAGAAACATTCCTCTGGTGAGCAAACTCCTGGGGAGTAACAAACTACTTAACTACTACCCATAGAATGTCCTGCAGTTTTTTACTAGGAACTAGTAAGATAACTAATACATATGAACCATCTAGCTGTAATGGCAATGCCATTCTCTGTTCTATAGTCTTATCAGCCTTGACTTTGATCTCAGGCACATAGCTCCTGTGAATAAAGGAACTTGCTTGCTAGATAACCACAATGTTTCACTAAGCTCTGCTGATCCTGGATCTGCCCACCTAACAGTAACTTCAGACAATGGACTTTCTTGAGAGCTGCACAAAGTTCCTAACATTGCATATTGTAACTGTAGAATGTAACTGCAGAATAAGCCACTTTACTGATACCATAAACAATAATGTAGTTATGGCAGTAATGACCTAATGTAACCTATTGGTATAAATAAATGCAGGTGCTTGGACGAGCAACCACCTTTCCGCTGCATCTTGTCTCTGTTTCTCTTTTTACTTTCCTTATACTATATTAAAAATAACTAAATTTACCTGCTAAAGGCAAATATCATTGGAGTACATTAACTTGGAAAAATCTTCAAAGACACAGAGCTAAGACATAAACATGAAAGTAGACAAATGAAAAATTCTTTCCACATTTTTAACACGACTAATCTATCAGAAGAACAAGAAAATATGAAATTATGTGAAATCAGTTTGAAATAGTTCTAATTAAGTATAAAATTTACATATAATTTTTCAGAATTACTATTGACAGATCATAACAATCAAGATATATGCATGTGTGCATGCTCATGTTCACAAACACACATATAAAACCATACACACACATTTATAAATACAAGGGTATGTGTCTAAACCACCACTCACAAATGATATGACTGATATTAACTGTGCTTAAATTTCTGTAGGTAAGAATTAATAAAAAACTATAAATTGTACAAAACCTTATAGAGTACATATTTTACATTTTCCTCATGAATTAGAAATTTAAGATTTTTTTATACATGCAAAATAGCCTGAATGCTGAATGTGCTGGTGTCTTTGATTATTAGCAAAAAGGGGTTGAAAGCTGGGAAGCACCCAGAGATTATTGCAGCCAAAACTATCAGGAACAATTTGGGATTATTTAAGATACAGGAAAGTGTATAAAAATACAAAAGAGCTCACTAGGACAAGAATTGTTTTGTTGGCTCTGTACTCAGGGTAGGACCTGGGCAAACATGCTGCATTCTCTGGTAATGCCTGTGCAGAATGAGCACCATGGAGCTGCTGGCCTAGAGCATGAGCACCCCTGCTTACACACACACACACACACACACACACACACACACACACACACACACAGCATCAGGGAGTGACAGGATTGCTGCAAGCAATGATTCTAGGGCTTTGTCATTAGAGCACCAGAAAATCTACCAAGATCTTGACATTTTTGGAGCTCCCTTTCCCAGTCATGTAAGTAAGAAAGGCATACTTACAAGGAGTTACAGGATCCGGCCCAGGTATACGGAGGTACCAATGTACCTGGGAGCTTTCATTTTAAAGCTCTGCCCATCTGAATTCACTGGGCTGAAGATGGTGGCCTAGAAGACACTCAGAAGGCATATGGTAACAATGGACTCATCACTGCCCATCCTGTTAACATTGAAAAGCAGCTTACATCCAAAATCACCAAGGAAAACTTCCAAACTGAAAATTGCCCCTGTCTGGGGACTTTCTTTATGCAGAAACAAATTGACCACAATCAAGTGCTTAAGAATCAAATTTGTAGGCCTTAACCTGCACCCAGTGAAGAAAATAACAGGTAATAGAGAAGACAGGAATTGCCCAGAACTCCAACCACAGTCTGTGACAGGAAGATGATTCCTACAGCCTCATCACTGGCTGCCGTCCTGCCAGTTCACTGTTGTTCTAGCCAGAGGGTCCTGCAGGGGAATGGGAGTTCTGGGCTACCTGTGTCCTGTAAACTAAAATCCAACATTGCCCTCTCTCAAGTGGGAACTGCAAAATTGAACTTAAGGTTTCATTCTCACTAGCAGGTTTCATGATGCTTAAATTAAGAATTAAACCACAAAGTGTGTAAAAATCCCTGCTCTAAATGCAGCACATGGTGATTTTCGAATCTTCTCAACATGAAGCGGGGGCTGAGATTACTTTCATGATTACAAGGAGAATTTGGGTACACAGAGGTTAAGTCTCAAAGTCTTACTCTGATTAGGTGCAGAGAGGGGTTTTGAAATTGTCAGTGTTTAAAGAGAGGATGCCATGAACCACCATGTTTCCCTAAAGCTAGTAAGTGGAGTTCTTCTATTAATCAAGTTTTTTTTTTTCCTATTTGTTTTTCTATATTCCTACTATCTTCTAAACTAGAAGTATTTTGGAATTTCTTATTGAAAAAAAAGGTTCCCATTGATTATAAATATTTATTCTACATGTGTAATGGTTAATTTGAATTGTCAGCTTCATCAGATTAAGAGATACCTAGGATTAAGAGGATTATGGGTGTGTCTATGTGTCTAGAAATGGTTAGCATGTAGGATAGCCAACTGAAATGGAGACCCTCCCTAAGAATGAGCTGCACCAAATATGATGATGACTTGGATGGAATAAAAGTTGGAAGAACAAGGAAGCAGCAGCAGATGCATGGTTGACTTTTTCTTGAATGGGTTCTTGATTGCTCCTACCATCATCTGAGGATATCAGACTCTTGCTTCTTTACTCTTCCAAAGGTGATTCTCCAGAAACCTTTGGTTTCAAACTAGAGTAGCACTGCTAATCTCTCTTGTTCAGGCCCAGGCTTCAGCCTCTTGGACTTTGCACCTACTGATTCTTCCTTCCAGCTGTCTGACCTGCAGATGGCCATTGTTGACTATCCAGCTTCCAGTAATATAAGCCAATCTTATAAATTCTCCTTTTATAATTGTACTTCCTGTTGATTCTGTTCCTCTAGAGAACCCTGACTAATACAATATGCAATATCAATTATATAAAGGAACATTTAAATATTTAATAACTGCAAATGCATTGAGTTGGAACTATAGTCCGAGGCACATGTCCCATGGTAAGTTATGTGCAATGGGGCAGGACTGGTTCCACATCTGTAGAGCTATACCCTGACTCATTTATTTGTGTGTTAGGAAAACAAGTACTATCACAGTAATTGTGCCACATTCCCAGGTTATATCCTCAGCTTTGGAACATAAAACATGAAAGATTGTATGGCAGAAGCAAATATTCACTGATTTAAGAAGATAAAAATGTGAGTTAATTAATACCTAAGTAAATTTGTTTCAAGGAAGCAAGGTTAGTGAATAATATTTATAACAGGAGACATTCATGCAAACTGGCACATTTGTGGCATTTGAAAGTTGAGATACTAGGATTTTTTCAGTCATCTGAATTCATTTATTACATAGAATTTGTTGTTTAGAGAAATTTAGGTGATGCTAGTTGTTCACTTTGAAAGTCACTGAATTCATCTGCACAAATATGAGTTAATTAATTGGATTCATTTGCATAATTGGATGTCAATTCATATCATAATTTTGTGAATAAATATGCTCTACCAATATTGACCTCTTACAGGAGGGAGAAACAAAACAATATCCATAAAAAATGTAGAAAAATTCTCACTCACCAATGACAGCAACAGGATAAGATGGTTTGACCTGCTTAAGCCAACATATCTAACTCTAAGATGTGCCAGGGCTGCTAACATTAATTCCACAGCAAGTATGATGGGTGAACACAGTACAAAAATCCTTTCAATTATTATAAATCCCTCCAATCCTGCAAGAACACTATTTACAATATGTCACCTTAACAAATGCTGTGAGATTTATCATACAGGTGAAAATCTGTGGTATGAATGCAGGTATGTTTTGTGTAATGGTATTAGATTGAAGTGGTACTAAATAAGAACATGGGGAATGGGGGGATTGGGAAATTTGATCGTGCAAATCCTGTGATGTAGAGGACACAGACAAAGTTCATTAAGTATCCAGGAAAAGCTCATTGGCATGACTAGGTGTAGGCACACATGGGCAAAAAGCCAAGGAACATAAAGACATAGGGCCCAGAAGGTATAAGATACATGGGGTACATGGTTTCACAGGAATTAAGGTGGTCCTGAGGATGAAGAGTGAACATGAAAAATGTTGAAGCTCACCGGATTGTAAAATTTGTAGAAGATTCAATGCCTCAGAGGCATTCATACATACGTGTGGTGAGAAGTTGTGAATAAAGCTGGGGTAGCACGTCCTGGATTAAGTACTTGTCCAAAACAGGCCCAGAATATGACAAAGAGGTGAATCTAGAGAGACACAATGTTTCTTGGAAGAGACAAATGACACAAAGAGTATTGAGGGAGGGGGGCGGGAGGGAGGGAACAAAGTAGGTAGAGAGCTAAGGAGGCCGTGATGGCCCAAAGTGCAAGAGAAACACCAGGAAAATAAAATTAAAAGATGAACACTTCTAGATATTAAGACTAAGTATGAGTCTTTACAACCATGTGGTATAACTAAGGGACACAAAACAATACCAGTGGAAAAAAGGAAAAGTGTCTTGATTTAAAACCAGGCACACAGGAAAGAAGTGATATAAAGAGGCATGTAACCAGAAGAAAGGTGGAGGATGGTGGGGTTGGTTGCAATCAGTTTGGAGTTTGAACTGTGTGTTGAGAATGCCTGAGAGTTAATCTTGGACATTTGGTTGTGTAGGACCCAGGAGCTATGGGGATGGACTGAGGTAATGGAATTGAAAGAAAATAAAAAAGAAGGAAGAGCACTGATGATGGGTCTTGGGGTAATGGGAGGAAGAAGGACTGTCCTGAGGTCCCTAGGATAGGCACCACAGAAAAACGAACATTAAATGTCAGGACACAGTTGTGCATGTGGGAGTTGGGATGTGGAATGTCTTCATGGCTGTGAGGGATGGGTGGAATTTCAGTGTGAAGGCTGCAGCTCAGAATGAAGAACCAAGCAGGCCTGAAAAATAGGGTATGTGCAGACTCAGTCCTGCTCTGCTGAGGTGTGACTGACAAATACATTTGTACACATACATGTTGTACAACACATAGAGCTTACATAAGTAGATATTGTAAACTGCTTACCAGAGCCTCTTAATTAACATATCTATCACTTAAGATGTATGTGTGGTGAGGATATTTAAGATCTCACAGCAAATATCAAGTATACAAAAATGTATTATTAACTTCATTCTCCATGTTACACAGCAGATCCCCCAAATTTATTGATGTTAGAATGGAATTTTGTGCACTTTAAACAACCTTCCTGTGTCCCTCACTACCCACCTCTTTACAACCACCATTCCACTCTATTTCTATGAAGTTGACTTATTAGATGTCACATGAGAGAGATCAAACTGTAATCTTGTCTGATTTATGTCACAATACTGCCCTCAGTGTTCACTTACATCAGCACAGAAACAAAATTTACCTATTTAGAAGGCTCAATAACATCCCATTGAACGTTAGTGGACGTTCCACATCACTTACACACAGTCATCCACTTGTGGACACTATGTCTTTCCTTGCTTCTGTCTTGCTTGTTGTGAACAGTACTGCAAGAAACATGGAGATGTAGATGTCTCTGTGAGAGATAAATTATTTTCTTTAAGATGCATTCCAGGGAGGGGGATTGCTGTATCACATGTAAGTTTTACTCTCAATTTTCCAAGGCACCTTTATGCAGTTTTCCATGGTGGGTGTGCCGATTTACATAATCTCCCAAATAACCTGCCCAAGGTTCTCTTTGCTCTATATTACTGCCAATACTTGTTATCTCTGGTATTTTTAATATTAACCCGCCCAAAATAGTGAAGTAATATCTACCCATATTTTTGAGCATTTTACTGATTATTGTCACTATGAGCATATTTAATGTATCTACTGAGCACTTTGTCTTTTTTGAAAATATATCTACTCAAGTACATGACCAAATTTTTGAAAACAAATTTTACTGTGCATTTTAAGGTAGACAAAACAATACCATAAGATAGAGTGAAATTGTCACTAGAATTGAACAAACTCATTTATCTCTTATCTTACATAGATACATATATTCCCCCATGTCAAGAAGAGTCACGATCTAATCATGCAACAAAACTCCTAACTGGAATACAGTACCTTTAACATAGTCAATATATCATATATAAGATTTTCTGAATTGTTTACCCTGAGTATTTACTATTTGGTGTGTTTTTACCTACTGCCATGGGTAGGTAGATTTTTATATGGATTTCATGTGGAGCCAATTTCTACCAAATTGATGTCTCCAGGAAAGTCAAGTCTTCCCAAGTTTATGTGCCAACTTGACTATTTCCAAAATGTGCATGTTTGAGCAGTACCCTAGGCAGCTCCATATGCCCAGGGAGTCATATGTGACCTGAGGGCAGGAATAAAAAAATGCATAGGGAGAGAAATCTCTAATAGTACGAATGTTTGAAGAAGCACTCAAATCCCAGACCTGGGATTAAGCTGTCACAAGACTTTCTGTCACAAGAAAGTTTCTCCATGGTTTCTGCCTGGGTATGTTGTTCCCTGTTTGCAGTCTAAACCTACAACCTTATTTCTCCCCCTGCATTTGTCTAGTGACTTCCCATTCTCCTGAGTACCAGTATGCTGTGTTTATCAGAAATACTTGTATGAAGCAAATTTAGTCTATGCTGAGGTTCATGTTTAGGTTTTCTGCAAAGGAATTTCTAGTTCATTCTTTTATGGGTCAAGTTCACTGCTGCCTATGCCTTTATGTCCATTTTCATAAAAATTTGAAAGTGTTGACCCTGTTATAGAAATGCATTAGTTCCCATTGGATGTGGTGTGTCTCCCAAGGTTTTTCTATTGGAATCCTGATGTCCAGTGTTGCAGTGTTAAGAGGTGATGGGGCCCTTATGAGGCGAGGCCTGTTGGAGGTGACAGGCCTTTGAGAAGTTTGCCAATTGAAATGATCAAGATAATTCTTTTGGGACCCTGGCTAATTCTGAAAGGGGTGTTATAAAAGACAGAACTTCCCCTAGTCTACTCTTTACCTTCCAAACTCACATGTGATTTCTCTCACACACATTTCTACAATGATGCCAGTCACCCCACAGGTGGCACAGGGCCACTCAGGAATTGAGCCCATGTGGGTGGCATACTTGTGAGGGCTCAAAACTGAAATAATGTTCTTCTTTCTGTAAAGTACCCAGTCTCCTGGGTTTTGTCATAGAAGAAGACAACAGGCTAATACACAAGCCTTTCTCCTACATTCAAGTAAGATGAGTAGACTCTTGCCTCTTCAGTAGGAGGTCCCAATTCCATACTCCCTCCACGATTCTGATTTCAGCTTCCTCACATCATATTTTATTTCACTTTGATCTACATTCTTATTCTGTATTTTTAAACAATAAAGTTTGGGGTACAGCTGTCCCAATGTCAATATGAACAAACACAGAACCTAGATCTTTTACCAATCCTACAGGCACAATCTGGAGATAAGGTAGTGATACATTACAGGGCACAATGTCTGTGACATGGTCATCAGAATGCAACAAATTTCCTGGGCACAGTGGTTCACACCTGTAATCCCCACAACTCAGGAGGCTGAGGCAGAAGGATCTGAATTTGAACACAGGCTCAGCAACTCAGTGAGGCCCTAAGAAACTCAGTGAGACACTGTTTAAATAAAATACAAAATAGAGTTTGGTGTGTTGTTCAGTGGCTAAGTACTCCTGAGTTCAATCCATGGTTCAAAAAAGGGGGGGGGACAAGTTTAGAGTTGGCTTTAGCTTTAAGTCATGATGTATTTCAGAAAAGAATTATCCAGGATGTTGGCAATCAATATTCATCATGGATGAAGCATGGAATGATTAATGAAACCCCTCAATGGCCCATCCATCACTTCTCTTTTGAAGTCTGTACAATTGGCTTTAAGGGCTTCTCTCCATGTAGGTTGAAGACATCAGGCACAGTATTTTCCTTGGATCTCCAAAACCTTTGATGTTTTGGGTGTTGCTCTTCCCTTGCTGAAGTCTCAATTCCCTCTGCACTAAAATGTTTTCTTAAAGTTGATGTTATCCAAGGCTCTTCATTAGCATAAACCACCTTGAACCAACAGTCCATACCAAAAACAGCAAATTCATTCTCCTATGTTTGCATACATGGAAAATGAAGAGAATTATCTTTGAACAAAGCCATCATTTTCTTTCAAAAGTAAAATGACACTAAAAAAAAATGTTCTTTGTTTGGGCCACTATTGTCCTGGAACATTTTTAAAAAATCCTTATGTGCCTTAATTCTGCCATAAAAGCACATACAAACCACACCCCCATCTTTAAAGTACAAGCCATGTGGTTGCTGTCATGTTTCGGGGCTGCAGCAGGAATATATTATGATTGGGGAGTGCCATTCCTGAGAGATGGATTCTGTTGGTTTATTGTTTATTCAGCCTTTGAATGTACCACATGTCCAGTTTCTTCGTACAACTTTTGATATTTTTGGTTGAAAATTGGATCTATAAATATATTAATATGGCAGCCCTTCAGTCTCAGAATGAATTCCTACATCTCCAGTTTTCTGTTTATATTCACTTTTTTTTTTTGAGGGGTATACCAGAAATTGAATTCATGGGCACTCAACCCCTGAGCCACATTCCCAGCATTATTTATATTTCATTTAGAGGCAGGGTCTCACGGAGTTGCTTAGCCCCTCACCCTTGCTGAGGCTGGCTTTGAATCATTATCCTCCAGCCTCAGCCTCCCAAGACAATGGGGTTTCAGGTATTGCCACTGCACCTGGCTCTATTCATATTCTGAATACCAGAATTACCTCTTTGCTTTATCAACTATTTTTCCCCATGTTACATTTTTAAATGGTCGCAGTATTTCTAACTTTTCTCCAAGAACTGGATGGAGTTCCTAAAGATTTTGCTTTCTCTATGTGATCATTTCACAAGAGAAGAAAGAAGAAAAGTGCAACTTGACAAATAAAAAAAATAACAACAAAGATGTAATTTTAGATTTGTAATAAATATCTTCTTAGGTCTAAAATGTCTGTTATCACCATCTATCCTAGCTGGTGACCTAATGCTGGCTTCACAAGATCTGACTATTAAAAAAATTAAGAAACCAACAAAGAAGCATACAAACACACAAAAGTACCATCTCAAAATCTGTGATGGCTCTCTGACTTTAAAGGCCCATGGGAAGAGAGAGGCATTAAAATTGTTTATTCTTATATAGGAGGCATACAAGGGAAGATTCCACAAAACATTCTATCCCCCAAAGGGCAAAGGATTAAGATTATAAAGGAACAGATGAGTGTAACTCAACCTCAGTGGATAACACCTAATTCTGGAGCCACACCTTGTTTTCCGAGCTAGGGTAATGCCCAAATTACTGTGACCTGGCACTACTGTGCCAGACTAAAGACAATATGTTCAGAACCTGGTGCATCAGGACTGAAAGGGATCTTGTATCCAGGGCAGGTCCTGACATATTTCCCTTTTCTTAAAATTAAAAAAAAAAAAAAAAGCAACTGGGAATTTATGTTGTAATCACTGGATTCTTGTTCTGAGAAGACCATGACCTACTCTTGAGATACAAATAAAATTAGTAGAAAACATATCATCTCAATAATATACTATATAGAATGTTTCAGCATATTTAGGATTAAGGCCATTTAATTAGCTTTGGAAGATCCAGGCTATTATGATTACTCTGCCAAACACTCATCAGAAGATTCTTAATCTTTTCCCAATTTTATTTGGAAGCATTCTGTTTGGCCACAGTAACACAGACATTTTTATTTGGCATAGCATTTAAGCCTTTCTGCAAACCACAGAGCAGAGGGGTCATTTACATTACTCATTACAGTGGCTTCTAGAGCATTTAACTTAGTTTCAATCCTTCCATTAGCACTTACCCGACTATGAAGGTTCTTGGAAGTAATTTAAGTCAAATTATTAAGAAAATTTACATGTTGTAAGTTTTAAAACATAGCCACAGAAACTGTAGTATAGGAACAATGAATAATATTTTAAGTAGTCAATTCATTGATCATGAGATCAAGAACTTGCCTAGGTCTGGTTAATTGGCAAGCACCTGTTTCAAGGCCTGAATTTAAACTGCAGCATCCTAGCTGGCAACAGGACAAAGAGACATTGATGAGGATCAATGTCCTTTTTATCCTACTATAAACAGTGATAAAATTAGGCAAGTTGTACCTTTTATAGGTTACAGAATATTTAACCATCTTTCCAATTCTCACATTTAAGGAGTCTTTTAGTTCTATCAGTAATGTAAACACTCTGAAGGTAGAAATAAACATCAAAACATCCTTTTGAGTGCTGTCTCACTGAAAATTCAGGTTTCTAAGAGTTATGTCATCTTCATGTAATTGTAGGAGACAATTTCTAGACACCTTATGTTATATTGACAATACATAGGCCAAACCTATCCATTTAGAAAATGTGTCAATTTCTATTACAGAATTATTAGGGCAATAATACATTGTTGAATATTTTATGTAAATAACTGGCCTATATAGAAAATTTCTATTTCAACTATCTTTCTATTTTGAAAATTATCCATATATATAGTCTTAATTTGTAAGGATCAGCATAATTGGCTTGTTTTGGATTCTCATATACTGTCTTTTTCTCAAAAGATACTGCCATACAGCCTGATTACCATAAAATCAACATATAGCTATAACTGACCATTACAGTGAGTATAATTCATCTAGTTGCATGGTTAGACTTTCTAGTCTTCACTGCAAGGAACATCAAAAGTGGACCTGAGAGGCTGTGTTTGTGGGTCAGTGGTAGAGCACTTGCTTAGCATGTACAAGGCATTGGATTCAATTCTTAGCACCACATAAAGATAAATAAAATAAAAGTATTGTGTCCGACTACAACGTGTGTATGTGTGTGTGTGTGTGTGTGTGTGTGTGTTTCTTTGAGGGTGGACTTGAGAAATGGGTCCATGGATATTTTTTCATAATTTTTACTTACCTGACAAGCCCATGAAGCTGCATGGCTGTAAACTATGCAGCTAGAAATTTATCTTCCTGTGTGAGGTTTTTCAACCTTTCCACAATGACCAGTTTAAACTCTTTTGAAATTTGATTTAACTTACTAATCATGTTCAGTAGCAGTAAGACTCCCAGATTCACAATTAGGAAAAATTTAAAAAATATTTTGCAACATCTATTATGTGCCGTGGGGTTCTCTTTTCCCATCTTTTTATTTAATAAAATTAAGTAGAGGCTTGGCATAAGCCATAGTATCATTAGTTTTAAGCAATGTTTAATGTAGTACAAGTATTTAAATAATAAGAAAAGATTTATTATCTTTAGCTGGTTGTGAAACTTGACAGAAGTTATTTAATGGGAACAAGGTAAATAGAAACTTACCCTTTACTAAATGTATGACTTGATTTTGACTTTAACAGAATTACCAAAAATAAAGAATACAATAAGTTGTATATAAATATTTGCAGGCTGAAATTAGCTCTAGATTAACTTAAATATTTATCTTAATTTGGAAAGAAGCAAGAGACAGAGATATTAATGTAGTAGTGGTGGTCTTTACTAGGGGCATGAGAAATATATAGAAATCTATCCAAAATAGGAAGTACATGTTAAATAAGCCTAGAGAAGATATTTTGTTTATTACCATTAATAAAGAATGAAATAGAGAAATGAATAGTCTTTTATCTATGAATCCATGAAAAACTGGCATTATGGTTATCAACTTAATGTTCACCTAAGTAGGGGGAATTAGTATCTCAAATGTTAATGGGTAAAAACAAGTCCACAGTGTGGTTTAAGACAGTGATCTAATTTAGAATTTATATGACATTGAGCTAGCAATAACATTTTTAGGGATCTATTACAAACAATCTTTGTGCATTAAAAAAAAACAGTTGTATGAGCACCCTTAATAACTTATTTAATGTAGTAAAATTGGCTAATAATTATGGTTTTATTCATTTTAAAATATCAATGTATGTAGGACATTGTCAGATATTATTAAAGTTGAGAAAAGGTCTATTATGTTAGTTTTTTATTGAAATATGCTATTGACTATTGAGCTGATTTATTTGCATAACTATTTTCAGACTTTTTTTTTTCCCTTTTTTTTTTTCAGTAATAAACTGTTGCCAGGTGCTTGAAGTAAGGCCCTGTTTTAATGTTAAGGGGGTTTCAAAATCTGTAACTTAGGAGCAAACATTTTACCCAGGAAATTTATTTCTCTTGGAGCTTTGACTAGCATTTTAATCTCTGTGTTTGCCTTTCTGTTTCTTCATTTGTGCTGCATTTAACTATGCTGTAACATCTAAACATGGCTAGAATTATGTTAACCTTTGTAAATCCCTTGGAATGTCTAGGGCTAACTGGAGATAAACACATCTTTTCAAATGGGTGGCCCCCTATAATTTTAAGGTACTGTATTGTCCTTTTTAGGTCTCTCTATGAAAAATATATTTTTCCTAAAGACTTACTAAAATTATGATTTTTAAAAACTCTTTTAACTTTTTTTTTTAGTTGTAGTTGGATACAATATTTTTATTTTTATGTGGTGCCGAAGACTGAACCCAGTGCCTCACATGTGTGAGGCAGGCACTCTACCATTGAGCTACAGCCCCAGCCCCTAAAATTATATTTTAGGCATTTTGTTTATCTGTTAGATACCAATCTGTCCTGGGGAACTGTCTGCTCCAAACTGTCAGGCCTGTTGTCCCTATTCTGTGTTAGTGGGACATGGTTAAGATAAATCTCCTTTAAAACTGTTTTTAAGATGGCCTTCTATTTCATAGTTTAGCCAAGTAATAGCATAATATTTCTCTAGGTAAGATTAGACATCTGTCATACATTCTGAAACCCTACAGTACATTTATTTGGACCTTTTAAAAAATCTCTCTGAATTTGTTTTGGTCTATATTAAGTTTTAGAGGTTCCTTTGATCTTTCAATTTTTTAGGCCCTTTTTTGATGACAGTAGTTGAGGCTAGATATGAAAATTAGATACTTTTTATTGATTATTGTAATTTTCCAGAATATAGACTAGCTGATTCATCCTAACAATTTAAGTAGAACCCCCCAATCTCTGAGAGAATGTCTTAAAATATCTCTATATCTATCTCAGAATATTATCCTTTAAGTAGGTGTCATGTACAACTTTAATTTGGAGAACACTAATCCTTATAACCTCTTATGATTACTATAGTACTTCTGCAACTTTTCTTAATAAAACATCTATAAAAAGTTTCTAAGAGAACCTGGTGAAGGATAAAGATCAGATTTTTTTTTTTTTAAGCTCGAGAACACATTAGGATACAGGCAGGAACATGAAATTGAATTTTGCCTGAAAAGGATATCTTTTGTTAGTATTTACAGGTGGGCATTCTTAAGTAAAATGTAGGCTCTCTGTAGCTTCCGGAGCAGCTGTGGGTGAAACAGAAAGTATAGGTTAATGGTTGCAAGCCAGGACCAAAAAGCCCTGTTTGGGTGACAATGAAATGAACAATAGGAAGACTGCTAGAGGTAGGACTTATCTGCCAAATTTCTCTCTTCGTTGGGCTACAGAATTTTTTGTGTAAAGGCATGTAACCACAATGTACCACGAGGCTCTGTTTGAAACCTTGTGTAATCGCATGTGTGATTACCAGCAGTCCTGGCCAAACCCCCTGGTAGCTTGGCGTGTACTGTCTGCTTTTGCCAGTGGTTGTCATGGTGAGAAAACAGCATATGGCCAGTGGGCATGGCCATTGCCAGCAGCTGTGGCTGCACCTCACACTGTGGCAGTGCAAGACATGGGTTCTCCCTACTGGGGCGGGCTTTGCATCCACATTCACCCCGTGGGGGCTGGGCTTGTTGCCCACCATAGTATCCTGCTCGGGGTAAGTGCCCTGGAAACTTCTCCAATGGTCATAATTCCTTCAATCAGTCTGCCTTCCCCCACCTGTAGTCCCTCTGCGACCCACATCTTGCAGCACTTCGTCATTCCCCCAGGGTCCGGGAGGTTGAAGCGGTGACCTTGTGTTCCCCTGGCTGATGGGCCAGTTGGCATGAGGCAGGAGAAGCGGGGCTGATGGTCATGGCTGCAGCTGCTGACTCCAGCTTGGGTTTGCCCTGTGACCCCGCCCTTGTGTTTGCTCCCCAAATTTCCCCAGATGTCCAGGTCTTACTTGGTCTGTTCCTGCTTGGGATACAGCCAGGGAAGTGCCAAGAGTTTATGCTGGTGCTAATGTGCCTGTGCTTGGATGGCCATGCCAAAATTTTGTCATTTCCCACTCTGTGAGCTGCGCAGCCAGGGTAAGCGGATAGTTTTCTCTCTCCTGGGAGCACCTCAAAAACTCTTTTAACATAAAAAATGGGCCCCTCAGCAGATGATGCCACCATTACCAAATTCTAAGGCAACATGTGCCCAGTTAAACTAGGGTTTTCAAGTGGCAGAATTATCTGCTGCTCCACAGGGGGCAGCGGTCAAAGCCCTGTATGTGCCCCAAAACAGCTGGAAAAAACAAAAAAAAAGTCTCTTTAAAAGTAGACAAATCCACCCCCCCACCTTGTAACAATTTACCATTAAACAAACAAAAACCAACAACAATAAAAAACAACTTTTCTTTTGTTTTCTCACTCTCCAAGTGTGGATTCCTGACATATAACCCAGAAAATCTTTACCTAATATTTCAAAATATAAAAATTAAAAAAAAATCTATAAATCACTTTTCCCATGGAAGAGGGCAAAACTTAGCAACATATTCCTTATCATCGTAATTTCTGTGGTACTTTGAATTTTCTAATTTCTCATTTTGTATGTCTATTAATTTTACCCAGAGTTGCAGAAAATTTTTGCTGTTTCTAAAGGAAAAAAAAATGCAGATATTATACGTTTAATGTTACATTGTTTTTCTTCTAATTCACTTATTTTCTCCAACTTAACTGATAATACCCTAAAATCGTAAGTGGGCTTAACTTCTGGAGAAAAATACCAAACCCACTAAATTTCTAAAATTTATGCTGGAATCCCAATGGGGCCTTCATTTATTGCCATGTACCCTAACTGGAGACCCAATTGTGGCTTCACAAAATTCGACTATTCCAATAACTTAACAACAACAAAAAAAATCACAACAAGCACACAGTAGTAACTTCTCAAAGTCCGTGATGGCTCTCCAACCTTAAAGGTCCATGGAAAGAGAGAGCCACTGGAATTATTTATTCTTATATAGGAGATACATAAGGGGAAGTTCCATGGAACATTCTATCGCCAAAAGAACAAAGGGGTAGGATTACAAAGGAACAGGTGAGTGTATCTCAACCTCAGTGAGTAACACCTACTCCTGGAGGCATACCTTGTTATCCTAGCTGGGGTAACTCTGAAGTTACTGTGACCTGGGACTACCATGCCAGACTAAAGACAGTAATTATTCAGAACCTGGTGCATCAGGAATTGAAGGGATTTGCATCCAGGGCAGTTCCTGACAGTCTGTACCATGGTGTGATCTAAGAATTTCTTTATTTCTATGACATTAACTAGTTATGCCAATTAAATTTTAAGATACTGCAAAAGTAATATCACATTCTTTATTAATATATAATCTCCCTGAAAATTATTATATTCAGAAGAATATGCAATATAACACCTTGCTATATTTCTCATAGATCAAAATTTTCCTCAATAATGTATATTTTCCTGATATGCAAGGCATGCAAGTTACAGGGTTTTCTGCACACATTGTATGCATTAGGTTTTGATAGAGTATGCTTTTTTAAAAAAATTGACTAAAGCTCTGATGTATCATTGGCGTTTATAGGGCTTCTCTTTAATACTCAATCTGTGGAGATTTTTTTAAGACGTGAACCTTCATTAAAAGCTTTTTCACATTGTTTACATTTGTAGGGTGTAATCACTACTATAATGTCTTTGATAATTTTTAAATGGTGAATTTTGATTAAAACTTTGTCACATTTCTTTTTAGTATAGTAAGTTCCTTTCTAGTATAAAATGTCTGGTGATCAATAAGGTGTGATTGTACATTGAATGACTTTTCATTTTATAGATTTCCAAAAATTCTCAACTATGAATTCTCTGGTACTTCATAACACTTGAAACATACTTAGAAACTCTGCCACATTCTTCACATTTGTATGGCTCTTCCCCAGTATAAATTTTCTGGTCAACATTGAGGCTGGAAATTTGACTAAAAGTTTTGCCACATTCTTTATATTTATATGGGTTCCCTCCAGTATAAATTCTCTGGTGACCTATAAGGCTTTGCCAAGAATGTAGGAATATAAGAATCTTTGCATTCTATGTCTTCTCCAGCATGAATTCTCTGGTGTTGTATAAGACGTGATCTTTGATTAAATGCTTTGCCACATTCTTTACAATTGTGTGGCTTCTCTCCAGTATGAATACTCTGGTGTTTATTAAGATGTGATCCTCGATTAAAAGCTTTGCCACATTCTTTACATTTGTATGGCTTCTCTCCAGTATGAATTCTCTGGTGATCAGTAAGGGTTTTCTTGAGAGCAAAAGCTCTGCCGCATTCTGTACATTTGTATGGCTTCTCTCCAGTGTGAATTCTCTGGTGACGGGTAAGGGATGATGGTTGATTAAAAGCTTTGCCACACTCTTTACATTCATATGGCTTCTCTCCAGTATGAATTTTTTGGTGATGCATAAGGTGTGATTTTCGATTAAAATCTTTACCACATTCTTCACATTTGTATGGCCTCTCTCCAGTATGAATTATTTGGTGACGAGAAAGGTGTGCTCTTTGATTAAAAGCTTTGCCACATTCTTTACATTCGTAGGGTTTCTCTCCAGTATGAATTATGTGATGTTCAGTAATGCTTTCAAGTTTATTTAAAGCTCTTTCACATTCCTTACATTGATAATTCTTTTCTTGGATATGAAAGTTTGGATGGATACATTTTGAGTCTTTCTCACTTTTATTGTGTTCATAAACCTTCTTTTTTAAATGGTCACATTGATGTTTTCTAGGACTTAAAAAAAAGTATTAAATTTTGATGAGTTTCACACAATTATACTGATTTACACAAAAATAAATATAGTGCTAATTACTTAGGGTACAGACCTGTCAAAAGATCTTGAATGATTTATCATAAATGTAAAGATCTAATTATCTATATCTGAATTTATCTTAAGCAATAGTAGATAAGTACAAATCTTCCCACATTCATTAAAATTCCATGTTTTAGCACAAGGAAAAACTACACATCAGTCTTTTTCTAAAATAAGAATGACATTGATCACAGTAAGAAATATGTTCTTTATTTTTTAACCTCTTGTCTATAGAAATGTTTAAGTGAATGTTTACTCAATGCTATATTTCAAAGTATTCCAGTAACTAAATGAAACATAAACCGGACTAAGTAGCAAATATTGTCATTTATTTAGAGAAAGGGTATAATTCTAAGTAACTCTGTGGAGAAATATTTAAAGGTACACATATATCCTCAAAAGTGACTAACATATTTTCGGCTGCTTTCTTGGGTTCAGGGGAAGTTTCACGTTCCCATAGCACTGCCACACACACCTCACCCACTAGCACCTGCTTCAGGCTGGTGGGGGCCTTGTTGAGCATGAATATGCTTTGGGTCATGGTTATGGCCCCATGAAGGGCCACAGCCAACTCCATGAAGCAGAGTATTGATCCACTGCTGAGTCGGGCTGATGTACCCCCCTGTTCATGGCACTGATGGTCAACCATGCTCAATATACAGAAGAGCTACAGCTACATATTGCAAGACCTGCATTGCCTAGAACTCTAGGACAACCTGTACCTGGACATTCCTGAATGCTTTTGTTTTGTTATTGTCTACAGCAGAATCACTGTGAACTACCCAAGCTACTTGTCTTCCACCAAAGAGTGCTTTATAAATGAGAATCTGTGAAAACCACATTTAAACAGTGTTGCAGGTTGTAATACCAAGTGATAGTTCGTATTATACTGCCACTAAAAACGTGTCAGAGAAACTTTTATAAAAGCTTTAGACAAATCAGGAAGAAAAACTGATTTTTGAGTTGGAAGATGATTGCATGCCCTTCCTTTAGGGACTGAAGTAGTGGAAAGCTGTGCATGACTGGGTTGCCCAATCAGGAAAATTAAAATACTGTTTTCTTGTATGCATGAACACACACACACACACACACACTGTTGGGTTTGGCCCCTGGAAAGAACAATCCTATATTACATTGGCTTTAAGAACAAAAACATCAATAATTTTCAGAGTCTTTCTTACCACTATGGATTATTATTTCTGAGTAATCAGGTTAAAGCCATCCCAATGACAGTTGTTGCTTTTGGACTTCAGTTGTTTGCAGTGATGGCACTCACTTCTGCCTTTTGTCAGACACTACACTAGTAACTGTTGAGTGCCTCCTGCCTTCAACCTCCTGGAACACAGCCAGG